TGGCTCAGAGCCTGGAGCCTGTTTCCGATTCTGTGACTCCCTCTCTCTCTGCTCCTCCCCCGTTCATGCTCTGTCTCTCTCTGTCCAAAAAATAAATAAACGTTGAAAAAAAAAAATTATAAAAAAATAAAAATAAAAAAAAAATAAAAGTTCCTATAATACATACATTATTCAGGTGTATTTTCATGAAAGCCCTGAAACACTTCTAATACTCTTTAGTAGATATCACATTAGTACTTTTAAACTTACCTCTAAGGCTTTATATTCATGTTATCCTAATGTTGTTTTTTTAATCTCATTTCATTTTATATCTCTAGGGAGCATTATTTGCAGCGAACGTCTTTGTGTTCTACATTTAAAATAATAGTACACGGGAAAACTTTTTTGGCCATAGTTTCTCTAAACTTACAGAGTGTGGGAAAGGCTTCACTAATTTTAGTAGAAAATTACAGTGGCAATAAATAAAACTAGTATTCTAAATTTTCAGACTTCTATCTTATCAGTGTTTTTCCTTGTGTCTGAAACCTGGTGGGTGGCAACTTACTGATGGCTTAAATTTGGTTGTTGCCTCTGAGGACCTTATAGTCCCGGTATGCAGAGGAAAAGCATAATATGTACAAAGGTGTTCTCACTACAAAATGGAATGATAATTAAGATTATGGAGGTGTTGGCTAACACCTTGGTGGTAATCATACTGTGTCATATAAATGTATCAAACTAGCACATTGTACAGGTTACACTTACACAGTATTATGTATCAATTATATCTCAATAAAAAATAATCCCTAAACAATTCTTAAGAAAGTATTTTCGTCACATCTACTTGATCCCCCCCAACTCTAAGCTAGTTGCCATGGTCTTCCTAAATTTCCAATATTAGATGATTACTTTCTTATATGTAGAGTCCTTTAATCAAAACAAACACAAAAACAAACAAAAAAAACAAAACCTAAATAAATGGGGAGATACACTGTACTTATTGATTGGAAAACTCATTTTTAAGATGGCAGGTCTTCCCAAATTGATCTAAAGATTCATTGTGTTCCCAGTCAAAATTCTTCATCTTTATTTATCTTTGAGAGAGAGACGGCATGTGAGCAGGGGAAGAGCAGAGAGAGAGGAAGATACAGAATCCGAAGCAGGCTCCAGGCTCTGAGATGTCAGTGCAGAGCCTGACATGGGGCTCGAACTCACAAACTGTGAGATCATGACCTGAGCTAAAGTTGGACGCTTACCCGACCGAGCCACCCAGGTGCTCCCCACGCCCCACAACCAAAATTCTTTAGGCTTTTTAAGAAGGTGGAAACTAGCAAGCTGATTTTAAAATGTGTATGAAAATGCAGAGATCGTAGAATAGCCAGAGTTGGGGGATTCACTGGTTGCACTGTACTGATTTCAAGATTTATTATAAAAGTACTACAGTCAGTTTAGTCTGGTGTTGACATAGACCAGTGGAAGAGAGTGAGAAATCCAGAAGTAGATTCATACATATATGGTCAATTAATTTTTTGCAAAAGTGCCCAGACAGTTCAGTGGGGGAAAGCATCAAATGGTGCTGAAATAATTGGATAGCCGCGGGGGGATGGGGGGGACCTTGATGCTTACCTCACACCATATACAAAAATTAACTGGAGGTGGGGGGCAACTGGGTGGCTGAGTCTGACTCTTGATTTTGACTCAGGTCATGATCTCACAGTTGGTGGGATCAAGCCCCATGCTGGGCTCTGCACTGTTAGTGCAGATCCTGCTTGGGATTCTCTCTCCCTCTCTGTGCCCCTCCCCCCCTGGTGCTCACGCATGTGCATTCTCTCTTGTGTGCAAAATAAGTAAGCATTTTTTAAAAATCTGGGAGACGGGATGCCTGGGTGGCTCAGTCGGTTAAGCGTCCAGCTTCGGCTCAGGTCACGATCTCAGTTTGTGAGTTTGAGCCCCACATCGGGCCCTGTGCTGACAGTTCACAGCCTTGGCCTGCTTCAGATTCTGTGTCTCCCTCTCTCTGCCCCTCCCCTGCTCTCACTCTGTCTCTCAGTCTTTCTCAAAAATAAATAAACATTAAAGAAAACCTCAGTCATTTCACGCTCATTACAATGGCTAAAATTAACAAGATTAACGTAGCAAGTATTGGCAAGGATGTAGAGGAACTGAAACTCTCATATTGCAGATGGGAATGTAAAATGATACAGCCAGTTGCAAAACAGTTTGGTAGTTTCTCTAGAAATTAAACATGCATACGATAAAACACCTAGGCATTCCGTTCCTAGGTATTTATTCAATGTAAACATGTTTTCGTAGGGCCACACAAAGAATTACACACAAATACTCTAGCAGGTTGGTTTATAATAGCTCATAAGTGGAAACAACCCACATTTCCAATAATAAGTGAATGGATAAATTGTGATATAGTCCTACAATGGAATACCACTCAACAATAAAGAAGAAAAAGCCATTGATATATGCAGCAAAGTGGATGAATTTCAAAATAATTATGCTGAGGGGTGCCTGGGGGGCTCAGTCAGTTAAGCATCCAACTTGGGCTCAGGTCATGATCTCGCGGTTCCTGAGTCCAAGCCCTGTGTTGGTCTCTGTGCTGACAGCTCAGAGCCTGGAAGCTGCTTCAAATTCTGTCTCTCCCTCTTTCTCTGTGTCCCTCCCCTGCTCACACTGTTTCTCTCTCTCTCTCTCAAAAATAAATCAACATTAAAAAATAATAATAATTATGCTGAGTGAAAAAACCCAGACAAAAATGAAGATGTGTAATTATATAAATTATAGTAGTGAAGACATATATAAAATACTAGAAAATGCAGAAAGCAGATCATAAGTTGCCTAGGGTAAAGTGGAAGGAAAGGATGGATTATAGTGGGGTGTGAGGAAAAGGAGGAGACGTGAATGGCTTCACGGTAAACACGTCAACCTGTCAAACTCACCATTTTATACTAAATGTGCGGTTTCTTCTGTGTCACTTATACTACAATAAAGTTGTAGAAACAAACCAGTAAGATAGCAAATAGCATTGTATTGTATAGATTTCATTTTAGAAAAAGTTATTTTAATAGAAATCAAGGTTTGCTGTCAAGAGAAAATATTTACTTAAGTGATATTTCAATTATAAAAGGCCAATTGTTACTTCTTTGTGACTAGAAGTGTCTATCATCTTGGCCTTTGCCCAAGGCCTTTCGTGGTTATTCTTCATTTAAATTATCTCACTAAACCTTTTAAGATTAAGGCTTTTGTAGGGAAACTTTAGTCTTTGTAGTATGGAAGTATTCTTACTACCATTCAGTGGTGAGGTATGAAATAATAAGAGAATTATTTTGGAGAATAAAGAGAATTTTCATACTTATAATCTCACCAGTGTTTTCCTTGTGTCTCAAACATGGTGGGTGGCCACTTACTGATGGCTTAAATTTTGTTCCTGCCCATGAAGAGCTTATAGTCTAAGTGAAAAGGAAAAGCATAGTATATACAAGAGGTGTTTCTAATGAGTAGAGATGGGTGGCCCTTATAATTTAAGCATAGTAGCTGTGGAAAGACATTTTAAGGAAGAAACTAGGAGAAAGGAACGAAGAATGTATGACATGCAAAGAGTGAATAGGAATGAACAGAGATAAATGAGGTAATTATTATTAGATGAGGTGAATTGGGGTGGACATGGGAACAGGGAGTAGGCAATTTTTGAATTAGATGAATTAAGCAGTAGGGAGCCAGTGAAGGGATTTGAGAAGGGCAGTGGCCTAGTGAGAGTGACAGATGACACAGATTTTTCTTACTATGGCATTTTAAACTGGTTACACAAGAAATAGGAAGCAGAGCCTACAAAGATGAAAAATTCTTGGTAGTCAAGGGTTATAATACAAGCCCTAAACAAAAAGGGGGTATGGGTTATGAATGCCTTAGGAAGGAAGGATAGTTAAGTAATGGAAACCATTTAAATGGGATTATTGGGAATGAAAGTCAAAGACAACGATATGATTTTTATGCCTGGAAAACTGAGGAAACAAGTAAAGAAGGGTGTGATAAAAGAAAGTTGTGCCTTCTTTTATGTTTCCTTTTTTTTTTTTTTTTTTTTTTAAGTAGGCTTCATGCCCAACGTGGGGCTCGAAAGCATGACCCTGAGATCAAGAGTCAGATGCTCTACTGACTCATACAGCCAGGTGCCCCAAAAGATCATGCATCCTAAATTGCCACTTATTTATTTTTTTATTTTTAACAATCTCTCAAACGTACATGTCTTTAATCCTCTTTGCTAAGATAACATTTGCAAATGCAGACATAATCAGAGATAGCGGGAGTGGAAAACCGTAATTTTATCCCAAAATAAGGTATTATTTAAATATGGCTTATGCTTAAAATGGGATAAAGGTACTTGAGGGGAAAGGTATTTTCTTGAAGATTTCGTGTAATTCAAAGCTAATATTCCCTTAAGAATGATAGAAGAGGAGGCTGATTTCCAGGAACATGTTTCCACATCACTGTTGCTAGTGTTTTCCCCCCATTTTTTATTCCTACTAGAATGTAAGCTCCATGAGGCCAGGGGTTTTTAGATTTTTGTCTGTTTTGCTGAGTGGTCTGTTCCCAAATGTAGGAAAGGGCTTGGCACACAGGAAGCCCTCAGATTATAGTTGGATAGTTGCCTGTGCTATAATATTTGTAAACTTCGTTTGCCTTCCTTTTTTGTTCTCATCTTACCACTAACATCTCATAGCATGGCATCTAAATGAACAGTAGTATGACATATCCTTGTGGTTCCCTTTGTAATATTCTATATCAAACTTTCTAACATTTCAGATTTTCAGGAGTATTTTTTTGAGACTTGCACCACTGAATGCTTAGATGACATTTTATGAATTGTAAATTACTTTAAACGTGTAACAACTGTGATAGTTACAGAATCACTCAGAAGGTTCAATTACATAAACAGTGGTGACTGATGATGTCCTGAGTAACAACTTTGTAAACATAATTGACAGCTTATTCTGGTCAGCCAGCTTGAAAGGTATCCAGTTCCTGGTGAACTTTGTAAAGGTGAAACAGTGATATTACTTTAACATTAGATAGAGGAAACATCTTTGTTTCATCTCTAGTTTGTGTAATGTAAATCTGCATAAAATACTAACGTTCTTTACTGTGCACTCAGTAAAAATAGTGCTGTGAAAGACTGCAAAATTATATGGGAAAGTGATCCACAATATACAGGAAATGAAGAAAAAGGCAAAATACAACAGTGGGTATGAGCATGTTCCGATGGGAAGAAATAGACAATAATAAAGGAGTAATCTAGAATTATGTTCACCAAGATGTTCATTACCTGTGGAAAGTGAAATTATGGGTAATTTTTTTCTTTCTATTTTTCCATATTTGACAAAAAGTTCTCCAGTCAGTTTTTATCAGGAATAGTAATCCTTATATAATAGTAGTCTGGATGGAATCACTCTACCAGCTCTTCCTAGAATGTGAACTTGGATGCTTTATTTCACCTCTTTGTTCCTCTGTTTCCTCATCTGTCAAGTGAATTAAATGAGATAATCCATGTAAAACACTTCACACAGTACCAAGTTCATTCCGTGTCACTCTCCTCATCCATTAGTAAAAATGGTTTAGTGAATTGTGATGGATATTATTAATTCGTCACTAAAAATTGTGTTTATGGAAAAGAGGTCGTGACACAGACAGCAGGGACAGGTGAAGGAAAGTAGGGCGCGAAGTTGCAGCTGGAGCATGGTTATGCATATGTGTGACAAAGGTCACTGTGGAGTAGAAAACCAGGACTAATAAGAAAGAAATTAGAAGTAAGTCGATTTGGGGATGACTGCCCTACTTTCTAGAGTAACCTTCCGCCTCTCCCTGGCTCTCCTCACTCTGCTTACTCTGCTCTTCTGCATTGACCACTCGGTCACACTATATTCTTTATTCAGTAGTCTAGTCCGTCCTCTACCCAGAATGCGCCCTTTTTTGTCTGACTTGTTCATTAGTACATCCCAAGCGCGCTTAGTAAAATTCCTGGCTTATAAATAAGACATTCAGTAAATATTTGTCAAATGAAATGATTTCCTTTTCTTGGATGTTTCTGTATTTCTTTTTTTTAAATTTTTTTTTTCAACGTTTATTTATTTTTGGGACAGAGAGAGACAGAGCATGAACGGGGGAGGGGCAGAGAGAGAGGGAGACACAGATTCGGAAACAGGCTCCAGACTCTGAGCCATCAGCCCAGAGCCCGACGTGGGGCTCGAACTCACGGACCTCGAGATCGTGACCTGGCTGAAGTCGGACGCTTAACCGACTGTGCCACCCAGGCGCCCCGGATGTTTCTGTATTTCTAATTTAATAATGATACTAGGCATTTATAAAACTAATGCTGAACTAAAGGAAAATTAACATAGATGTGCGATACTGGTCACGTTCTTCGGAGTGCCAGATCTAAAGGGGTGTGAATTTATCACGTGTTGATGAGGATTGTGATATGATGGGAACTTTCAAACACTGCTGCTGAGAGTATAAATTACACAACTGTTTTGGGAAGCAACTTTATACTAAGTATATATTCAAGTACAATGGCTTTTGAGCTTTTTGATTTGATTTAAAATAAATGCATTTTATATCACGCCCTAGTATGTGTGTACTTACGTAAAAACAAATTCCATGAGACAGTGGGTGATGCACTCTGATATTTTCTTTTATTCCTTACTATTTCACTGAGTCATGGCCCAGTTTGAAAAACACTACCTTTGAAAAGTTCTGGCACATGTACACCAACATGTGTGAAAATTTTTTATCGCAGCATTGTTTATAATAATGAAAAATTAGAAATTACTTTGTCAAATGGAAAATTAAAAAACAAATTGTGTTGGGGTGCCTGGGTGGCTCAATTGGTTCGGCGTCCGACTTCGGCTCAGGTCACGATCTCACCGTTTGTGAGTTCGAGCCCCATGTCGGGCTCTGTGCTGACAGCTCAGAGCCTGGAGCCTGCTTCGTATTCTGTGTCTGCCTCTCTGCCCCTCCCGCTGCTCTCTCTCTCCCTCTCTCTCTCCCTCTCTCTCTCCCTCTCTCTCTCTCTCTCTCTCTCTCTCTCACACACACACACACACACACACACACACACACACAAATATTTAAAAAATAAATAATGTTGCATTCATTCAGTGGACTATGATACAGCAGTAAAACATTAAGAAACTAGATCTACATATATTGTGTTGATAATTGAAAAACATCATGTTGACCAAAATTAACAAGTTGTAGAATGATAGTTATACCTGAATTTTTTTTAATGTGCAAAAAACCCTCTTTATTGTATGGCTGTAAACATAAGTATACATATAAAAGACCCGCATGAGAGTGAAAGCACCAAATACAGACAGGTGGTTACCTTAGATGTAAGAGGGAAAAGAATGAGATCAGGAACAGACAGGCACACAGGAGGTGAACCAACTGTAACTCGATTTTATTTCTCATCAGGAAAGAAATTTAATACAAATGTCAAACTAACATGTCAGGGCTAGGTGGAAGTCTGAGGAGTCTGTTCTTCGTCCTTTTCTGTGTGCTTAAAATCTTTTGCAATAAGAAAACATTTTATACTAAAGCTTAGAACTTCTTACAGTAAAACACACTCAAAAGACTGCTACTCTCCCCCCACCTTACCAGAACGGTTCCTGTAGGATAAAAATGAATCCCATGCTTCCCCCAAAACTCCTGGCCTAGACTTTGTTTCTTTCTCTATATCTCTGTTAACGATTTTATTAGGAGTTAAACCAAGTGAGATTAATAATCTAGTTAATGTTTCCTTAGTGCTTTGGATTTTATTGAGCAGTTTCCTAGAGCTTCTGAAAACTATGCGATTTGTTTTCTAATCACATTCATAGAAACTCAGTCTGACTGAAAGATGAGACTAGTGTAATTCAAATTTTTATTTTGAATAAAACTGTTGCCTTCTTTGGGAACCCACTATACTCAAAAGCAGAGTGTTGGGTAGACGCTCTAAGTAGGTTTCCCTTACTTTTAACGTTGTAGAAGTCTGACTCAGAATCTTTCTCCTGTTGGATTGTTTGTTCTTTGAAACTGAGCACTGTGCTATAACTGTTTTGACCTTCATGAGACCTAGAATAGTGCAGTTGATGGTTATGTGGTAAAAATTAATTGAAAAAATAGCACAACTTTGAATCTCATGGTGCATTTTCCACCGATGCCTCTGTTTATACTGTGTTGGTTAATAATGTGGCCTTTTATTTCCTTATATTTAGTGATTTAGAATCTAGAAGAGAAGTAAAAAAAGAAGAAGGTGAAGCTTTTGCACGAGAACATGGACTTATCTTCATGGAAACTTCTGCTAAAACTGCTTCCAATGTAGAAGAGGTAAATAAATGGCCCATTTAAATGTTCATCATCTTTTTTACTTAATTGGAATGTATTGTGTGCTTTCATATTCACTTTTTGATGTCTCTTCTAAACCTTTTTAGTCTTTATTATCATAGAGTAGGAAGATTCCTTCTGTTTGAAATGCCTTGTCTTACAGCATTCGTCTTAAATCAGACTCCTAAATTATATTCTGAACCTTCTCTCTAAGCCAAAATGCTTTAACACATCTTTGTATATATTTATCCTGAGAGGGAAAAAATAACACTAATGAAATTTAGAAAGGTATCAAGACACTAAACATTCGTAGCTATTTGTATCTACTTTTTCTTAAATAGGGAAAGTATTCTTACTATGTAGCATACAAAGCATGGGAATTCTGCCATCTTTAGTAAAATTTAAAGTGTCTCCGTGATTTTCATTGATCAGCCTGAACTGCTACAAGTTTTCTGAACACATCATGTTCTTTTATGCTTTTTGTATTTGGGTATGGTATTTATATACTATACATAGATGAATAGGCAGTTAATTCTCTCTAAGGTAAAAGTATTGCCACATTCTGTTTTATAACAGGCAGGAAAGAGGCTGGGGCACCTGGCAAGCTCGGTCAGTGGAGCATGTGACTCTTGATCTTGGGGTTGTGAGGTTGAGCCCCACGTTTGGTGTAGAGATTGCTTAAAAACAATATCTTAAAAAAAAAAAAAAGCAGGGAAGAGGCTAAGAAAATAAGTAATTTGCCTAGAGTAATGCCACCTTCTGGGTAAGAATCTTAGCAGCAGCTGCAAAAAGGGACTCTAGAAACTAGATGATTTAAAAATCTCCTTTTTCTAAGGATAACAGAGATGAGGTCCTAGACAGTAGCTAACACAATGCCTTTCATGTAGTAAACAGTGAGTAAATATTTATTAAGAATGTACTTGGAGCTCTTTGAATTAACTTTTGAACCCAGAAATAGACTACAATTATTCAACAGCATTGATATTTTTGCTGGAAAATTATTTCTTAGGTAAGATTTTATCTCTACTTGAAGAAGTGCTCTATGACTGTCCTCAATGCATTTCCTACATTTCCTACAACCACCAATTAATGCTTTACCAGTTGCCAGTAATTACAGTTTGATAACGTACAAAAGTAATACTGCATTTTGCACAGCAAATCCAGAAATTTGTTCTGCCTCTTTGTTCAACTTAGAATAGACATGTAAAGGCACCTGTTTCAGAGAGGTACTCCTTTACTAGAGGTGTTATATTTGAAACCATAAGGGCCGATGTGTTGTGGAGATTTCAAGACCTCTGAAACATATCCTTATTGATTGTTATTGATTTTCTTATTTATTTTGAGAGCTCTAAAGCCAAAACTGTCTGCATTTAGTTAAACAAACAAACTAACTAACATACTATGAGGCATCTGGCTGGCTCAGTGAGAAGAGCATACAGCTCTTGATCTCGGGGTTGTGAGTTTGAGTCCCACATGGGGTGTAGAGATACTTAAGTTAATAAAACTACTCTGAAGTCGGATGACAGAGCATCTACTACTATAAAGTGCTCCCAGATTTCTGGCTTTGTTTCTGATGATTTTGTTCATTTTACTTATTCGTAACCAGAAACCATAGGTATTTTATTTGTAAGCAGCAAATTACTATTGACATTCAGCTGACCACTTAAATAAATTCCATTAATGTTTTGGCAGCACTTATTACAAAAATCCTGTATATGTGGTTAATAATAATTACATACATTTTGTCTTGGGGCTCTGGCCCCTGGGTGGCTCAGTCGGTTAGGCGTCCCAGCTTCGGCTCAGGTCATGATCTCACAGTCTGTGGGTTAGAGCCTTGCATCAGGCTCTGTGCTGACAGCTCAGAGCTTGGAACCTGTTTCAGATTCTGTGTCTCCCTCTCTGTCTCTGCCCCTCCCCCACTTGTGCTCTGTCTCTCTCTCAAAAAAAAAAAACATTAAAAACAATAATCAATCAATCAATCAATCAATCTGGGCAGGAATTTCCCATACTCATGAGAGAACTTTAATTATGTAAATTAATCTGTTTCAGATTCTGTGTCTCCCTCTGTCTCTGCCCCTCCCCCACTTGTGCTCTGTCTCTCAAAAAAGAAACATTAAAAACATAAATCAATCAATCAATCAATCTGGGCAGGAATTTCCCATACTCATGAGAGAACTTTAATTATGTAAATCTGTTTCAGATTCTGTGTCTCCCTCTGTCTCTGCCCCTCCCCCACTTGTGCTCTCTCTCTCAAAAAAGAAACATTAAAAACATACATACATACATACATACATACATACATACATACATACATACATACATAAATAAATCTGGGCAGGAATTTCCCATACTCATGAGAGAACTTAATTATGTAAATTAATTTGTCTCTGAGAAGCCAAGGATATTAAGAAATAATCTTTTTAAATCCCATTTTAAAAGATCATAGACAAGCATTACATAATATAATCATCCATGCGATTTTACCTAATAGCTAAAACTATTTCATGATAAAGTATTTTGAGAAGGTGGAGGACCATTCTGTGATCCACAAAGAGCAAAATCAAACCTGAATCTCTACATGACTTAGGAACTTATTGACCATGAAAGCAATAACCAAAGGGCTTCTGCATCTAGAACAAATAGGAATGGACTTCCTCACCTCTTCCACCTGCCAACTAAAGCTAAAACTCTGAACATTATATGTAAAACAATAAGAAGACCTGAAGGTGGAGAGAACACCATCTAGAGACCTTGGGATCTGAGGAAAGTGACACAGCAGTGATTTCCCTTGGTTTTCTTCAGGTCAGGCGCTAGAAAAACTGGCAATCCAGAAAGACCAGCAGGTGCAGGGGGAAAAAGAGAAGCCTACCTTCTAGTCAAAGGTCCAGGAAAGCCCGTTAGCAAGAAAATAACCATTCTACTACAGCCAGACATGACAGAAAATGATGGTGCTGCTTCTACCATCAGCTTGCTGTAATAAGGTTCTCCCACACTCACCATTGTCTTGTGGGATTGGGGTCAGAGGAAGCCAGCAAAAGTATAGGTTTAAAAAAAATTTTTTTTCAATGTTTATTTTTGAGACAGAGAGTGACAGAGCATGAGCAGGTAGAGAAAGGGAGATACAGAATCCAGAGCAGGTTCCAGGCTCTGAGCTGTCAGCACAGAGCCCGACACAAGGCTCAGACTCACTAACTGCGAGATCGTGACCTGAGCCGAAGTCAGACACGCAACCAACTGAGCCACCCACGCACCCCAAAAGTATAGGTTTAAATAAGATCCAGAGTCTCATAATGTAGAACCCCAAATGTCCATATTTCATTAGAAAATAACTCTTCATATCCAGAACCAGGAAGATCTCAAACTGAATGAGGGAAAAAAAATCAATAGATACTAATAGTAAGATGACAGACACGTTGGAACCATCTGACAAAGATTTTTTTAGGCAGCCATCATAAAAATGCCTTAACAAACGGGAGCATGCCTGAAACAAGTGAAAAATAGTCTCGTCAATAGAAATAGAAGTAAGGAGGGGCGCCTGGGTGGCGCAGTCGGTTAAGCGTCCGGCTTCAGCCAGGTCACGATCTCGCGGTCCGGGAGTTCGAGCCCCGCGTCGGGCTCTGGGTTGATGGCTCAGAGCCTGGAGCCTGTTTCCGATTCTGTGTCTCCCTCTCTCTCTGTCCCTCCCCCACTCATGCTCTGTCTCTCTCTGTCCCAAAAATAAATAAACGTTGAAAAAAAAATTAAAAAAAAAAAAAAAGAAATAGAAGTAAGGGGTACCTGGGGGGCTCAGTCAGTTAAGCGTCTGACTCTTGATTTCGGCTCAGGTCTTGATCTCACAGTTGTGAGCTTGAGCCCTGCATAGGGCTCTGCACTGACAGCACAAAGCCTACTTGGAATTCTCTGTCTCCCTCTCTCTCTGTGCCTCCCTTTCCTTCTCTCTCTCTCTCTCTCTCCCTGTCAAATAATAATAATATAATAACAATAATAATAATAATAATAATAATAAACATTTAAAAAAAGAAATAACAGGTAAAAAGAAGGACCAGATAGAAATTTTAGAACTGAAAAATATAATAATTGACAAAGGTTCAGTGGATGAGATCAACAGCAGAATGAAGGGGACAAAGGAAAGAAATAGTGAATTGGATGATAGACTAATAGAAACCACTCAGTCTAAAGTACAGAGAGAAAATGGACTGGAAAACAAAAATGAGCAGTGATTCAGGGACCTGTGGAGCCATAACCCAAATTCTAACATTGTGTTACTAGATTCCTAGAAGGAGAGAAGAAAGATGGTCCTGAAAAAGTACTCAAAGAAATAACAACTGAAAACTTTTCAAATGTGGCAGAAGATACAAACCTACAGATTCAAGAGGCCGAGCCAACTCCAAACAGGATAAACCCAAACAAATTCACACCAAGCCAAACTTCTTCCATAGTCAAATCTCTGAAAGCTAAAGACAAAAATTATGAGAGCAGTGAGAAACACCTTACTAATTCAATGCCGGCAGATTTCTCATTAGAAACCATGGAAGTCAGAAATACACAGCAATTTCAAGAGCTGAAAGAGAACAGGGTTCAGGATTCTAGAACTAGCAACAATACCTTTGAAGAATGAAGAAAAATGAAAACATCAGATGAAAGAAAACTAAGAATTTACTAATACAAGATCTGCTACAAAAACAGTGGCTAATGGAAGTTATCTAACAAATGAAATGATAAAAGAAGGAATCTTTGAAGGAATACCAGTAACCAAAAGTATGGATAATGGTATATATATATAAGAAATATCATAAACCATGGCAGAGAAAGGGGACATCAGGGGAGGTAAGGTTCCTATGACACTCAAATGACACTAGTAGACTGTGATAAGTTATGTGTAGATACATAAAGTGTAGATATATACGTGTAGATATGTAAAGTCTATATAAAGTTTATACATGTAAGTGCAATTCCTGGAGTAACTACTAAAAAATTTCCAAAGAGATACACTAAAAAATAGA